AAAATATCTTGTTCAAAAAAAGTATAAATATTGGTGTTACTGTGGCCCCAAGCCACACGCAGGAGGGTACACTGTGCTGATTCCCTGGCTGGGGGACACTGGCTGCTGGCCTGGGGGGATGCTTTATCCTGGGGCCTCATTGATCTTTCTGGGGCTTAAAAAAAATTTTTTTTTTGTTTACAATTTCTTCTCTTTCTCTCTTTCTTCCTTCCTTCCTTCCTTCCTCCCTTCCTTCTTTCCTTCCTTCCTTCCTTTCATTTATTTGACACAGAGAGGGGAGAGAGAGTGAGCACAAGCAGGGGGAGAGGCAGAGGGAGAAGCAGGTTCCCTGCCGAGCAAGGAGCCTGATGTGGGGCTCAATCCCAGGACCCTGGGATCACGACCCGAGCCGAAAGCAGCTGCTCAACCAGCTGAGCCACCCAGGTGCCCCTCTGGGGGCTTCTTGAAGGAAAGATCAGTTCAACTTCATCAACTTTTAAGGCTTCCCCTAATAAAAAAAAGAATAGAGCACATACACCAAACTTTAAGGGCCACGGTATGGCAAATGAACCTACTTATTCTTTATCAATTTGTGTTATTGTTACATAAAGCTTCTTTGAAAAGCTTGTAATTTCAAAATGAATGCTTTTCTTAAAAAAAAAAACAATTCTATATCATGATAGTTTGCCTGATTTCTGTCCGAGTATTATTTTAATCAAACATTATATTGGCTTTTAAAATCATAAAAAGCAATGCTTATTTAAAAATATTTCTCTCTGCGCCCACTGAATCTTTCACTTACTACTTGCTGGGTGACCACTACGAACAGTTTATTTTTGTCCTTTCTGACCAAGTGTGTATCTGTATCTGTATGGCTGTCTCCACTGATGATTATTATACTATGTTTTTGCTTGTTCACCAGATACAAGTCTGTCTTCGCTGCAACATGCTAATGCTTTTGATAGGTCTTAGATGCTCCGTGTAGGAAGCAAAAAGAAAAATTCTTCTTAAACACATACAATTGGGTTGGTATATTCCACATGAGGCAAGTTTAATCCACTACTCGGAAGTAGACGTGTGGCTATAGTTTCAGCACCTAGTTCTACTTTTACCTAAAATATTCAGGCAACTGAGGTAAGGGTGCTTGTTTTCTCACAGTCCTGAGGTTAATTGCTCCACTGTTAAATTGTACTTTCCTACAGTAGCTCTAATTCTAGCTTAATAGTCTGGTACAGTGGTTTTATATAAAGGCTTGTTGAATTTATTAGATGGAGAGATATCTGAGTGCTGGAAGCAGATTACGGGCTGGAGAATATAAGATTCTATCATAGTTACACAAGCCAAAAAGTCAATAAAGCAAAAGAAGCAGAACTATAAGTCACTCTCTAACTCAGTTCCTAATTTGCCCTGATTTGCCAGGATGTCACCATTCTTGCTCACGTCACTAGGGACATTTGGGGCCACCTAGGGCTGAGCCCATCCTCATGACACTCTCACGTGGTAACAGACACTTGTGGATTTTTGTTTATGATTTCATCTTGCTAATATGGAGAATAGACAAGACTGGAAGAGAAAAGCTTAATATATTGTGTGGAAAATTTGAACAATTAAAACAAAAATCAAAGATTCAGTGCATGTGCATTGTTGTGGGGGAAAAGTTATAGCTAATAATTGCAGTTGACAAAACGGAAGAACTTTTTACAGGCAAAGGGAAGTTTAGGAAAAAGAGAATTGGCTGTGAGTATCCAAGAATAATGAGCAAAAAAGAGAAGCAAAAGGAAGAATTTACGTCACATCCTACTGAACACGGATGCAAATCTGACCTGTGTACATGGGGGAAATTGTTAAAATTAGAGCAAAGTAATTTCCTGATTTCTACAAATGAGCGTATTCTTTCAAAAATTTGTAAGTTGTGTGAGAAAGTAGGTATTCTGTGTTTTCTACAGGAAATTCTATTTGATTCAATGTAAGGAAACCAGTATAAGAAAATTATTATGATACTACTGAGATCATGTGAGAGAAAAGGAAAAGTGTGTGTGTGAAAGAGAGAAGAGCACACAGGAGTAATGGGAGGGGTAGAATGAATGGAGAACCTTATTATATCATAAAGTAATGACTTTTTAAAAGGACAAATCTATGGCATAGAGAAACTGCAAGGTGGTGTTAGAATTTTTTTTTTAAAGATTTTATTTATTTATTCATAAAAGACAGAGAGAGGCAGAGGGAGAAGGAGGCTCCCTGCTGAGCAGTGAGCCCGATTTGGGACTCAATCCCAGGACCCTGGGATCATGACCTGAGCCAAAGGCAGACGCTTAACCACTGAGCCACCCAGGCACCCAAGGTGGTATTAGAATTCTTAAGGTTGCATTCATAAAATGTCTGATGGGCTTACTTAGAAGATACTACCATGGGGCGACTGGGTGGCTCAGTTGGTTAAGCGACTGCCTTCGGCTCAGGTCATGATCCTGGAGTCCCGGGATTGAGTCCCGCATCGGGCTCCCTGCTCAGCAGAGAGTCTGCTTCTCCCTCTGACCCTCCCCCCTCTCATGTGCTCTCTCTCATTCTCTCTCTCAAATAAATAAATAAAATCTTTAAAAAAAAAAAGATACTACAATGGTTTATTCCTTAACTTGTTAATTTTTCCATGACTGTAAAGATCATCTATCATGTTTAGTGTGATGCAGGGTGATGTCACCAGCTGCCCTGTGCAAAAATCTGATATTTTATGCTTTCTCACATCTTCCTGTCCCTGACCCCCTGCAGCTGCAGCCAAGAGTGGAGCCTTCCCACCCTGAGAGCTGCAAGCAGGTGGATGTAGCCCAGTACTTACGATGAGACGCACGGAGCCTGAGAAGGAATGATGTAATCACCTCTGGGATTTTCATTTTCCTCTCTCTATTTTGGTGTGTTCTCCTGCATAGGGCCCCCAGCTGAAGACCCTCTGGTCAATTTATATTCTAAAAGGAACAACACAGGACACCCTCCCAGATTCTACTCCTCTTCTCTGATAGGCTTGTCAGATTTAGCAAATACTCCAAACAGGACAAATCATTTTCTAGCATAAGTATGCCCCATGCAACTTTGAGATATCCTCCCACTACAAAATTATTGACTATCTGAAATTCAAATTTAACTGGCACCCTGGATTTTATCTAGCAACCCTATTGTTTGAACCCCAGGAAGCTCCCTGAGTATCTGGGAAAGGTCTCCGACATCCTGGTGCGTGGGGTGAAGAACACAGCATGAGAACAGATGTGGGAGGTGTAAGTACATTGTCTCTTCACTGACAAAAGCACAAATCCTCTGAGAGGTGAGCAGAAAAAAGCCAATCAGGAGTCTCTTGCCACTTTATCCACAACACTGCTCCTTGAGGGGGAAGGAGTCAGCTGGTGGCCCTTTTCCTTCCCCTCGCACACCTGGGTGAGGACGCGCATACTGTGTATCTAATGAGCGATTTCAGCACAGGAAACCAGCTGGTAGGCGGCGAGACTGTGAGAGCGAGTGGCAGACTAGACACTGGGAAAGGGCGGGGTGGGGGTGGTGAAAATGGGGAACAGTAAGAGACACAGCGATATGCTATAGGCACAGGGCAGATCTTCAAATTACACTTACTGCATGAACACAAACACACACAGAAATATGCCCATGGATGATTGAAAATTTGTTTTTCATTGGATAAGTCAACCTTATTCGTTAACCTCTTCTGTGGCTGTTTTTGTAGAATTTCCTGGTGAGCCAGAATGCACGTCCACTATCTGGCTGGAGCCAGCCAGCCGAGGCCAGAGTGGCTGGGCTCCCTGCAGAGCCACGGAGCCCTCTAGAAGCATCCCTTTCCATGATCCTGATACCTTAGTTTGCACTGGTCAGGAATGAACTCCTCATATTTAACCTCTAATGGTTTCTTACAAATTGCTACCTCAATTCCATATCTCTAGTTAGTAGGATTTTAACTCCGGTTTGAGGACCTATGACTTCTCAAGCCTGCAGAAGTTCTAGGCTCAATGATAATTACTGGCATTTGATGCACCTAGAACTAACATTGAATACTGCAATATTCTGGCACAGGCTCTTCCTTCTAATTGATTCATTATTATTTACCATGACTCGAGGTTTGATGATCTTTTTGTAGAACTACTCTCTGTTGGAGCTATACTCAAATGTCATACAGGTAAGCCTAGTTAAGATGGAGGGGATTTTCTTCTTGGACCCAAATGTTATAAATATAAAAAAAAAAACCCAACACACACATAGATCTAATCCCTGGCTATATTCCCATACAGGTTTCAGTGTCATGGAAACCAGTGAAGCTCTTCTGTGCCTCTCTGCTTAAAATCTGATAAAAATACAGTTTAACTGCATAAACCTAACTGCACTTTAGAGGGAAAAGGAGGTGCTGTATACATATGACAGAAGGTTTTAAAATAGTGAAATCTGTCTTTGTTATAATGAAAGAAAACTCATAAGATGTTCAATTAATATATCTGGATCATCCGTTTCTTCCTTATTTTCTTACAGTGATATTTCGGGTGTTTTGGGATAGTCATTTTGTGGATATCTTGGAATAAAAAAAATAAAAGGCATTCTCACGGTGTGGCGCTTAGCAATCAGGGTGACTGATTTGCCTAAGGGTCACCCCTAAAAGAGCCTGACCGTGGCCAGTAGGAGCTGGTGGGATGAGTTTGCTGGCTGCTAGGATGCTGCTGTGCGGGGATCCTGGAAAGACCCCGCCCCCCTTCAGTGCTGTCCATTCTGGACCTGTAGTTGAAGTTTCTCTGTCGATGCCAGAGCTTGGAGGCAGGGACGACTGTGTATGTGGCCAAAGCCTGGGGACAGAGGCAGGCAGGGAGGCACAACCATTCTTTGTAGGGCACGGGTGGTATTATGTTACTGGCGACTGTGTGATAACAGCGAGGACACCGGGGGCAGTCTTTTGGGACATTCTGTAGCCCTGGGCTTGGGCTCGGAGGCCAGGCTTGTGGTGGCACAGGGGGCCCCGGGGGACAGCCGTTCTGCTCACTCACCGGTGCTGCTCTGAATGGTCCTCACGGTGGTGGTGGTGCGCGGTGGGGAGGAGGACCTCAGGGACACACACTCATCGTCCTGGGAGCAGCCCTTCTCAATGGCCCGCACGTAGCTGTGGCTCCGCATGCGGAAGCAGCCCGGCATGGGCAGGTCCAGCGCCTCCACCGCCTGCGACTCCAGCTCGCTGAACACCGATTCACACACGGACTCAAACTGCCCGTTCACTTCCATCTCGCTCACCTGCGGGCAGAGGTGGGGTACCGTAACTCCTACCTGGTGGAGAAGCACCCTCTCCCTTAAGCATCTCCCAACTTCACCCCCCATCCTTCCCCAAGAGAGCCCCCTCCGATTCTACTAAACTCCAATGCATCTTATTTCCTCTGTGTTACAATCCATAATTGAACTGCATCTTGTTTGTAATCCCAAACAATCAATTCTAAAGAAAAAGAGCTTTATTTTCCCAAGGAAAGGACGGTGGGGCTGGGAAGTCTTCTTCCAGTGCCTGCCGGGTGCTAATTCTCCTTATTTATAAACGCAAACCTAGGGAACAGCTTCTAGTCCATGGTCAGAGTTTGGGTGTTTCAGTGCAACAGTTTTTAGTATAAACATTTTAGAAGTTAGTATTTTTATTATTGTGCTTTTTGGAATTGACCAGCTTGTCAAATAATTTCAGTGTTGAATGCAGCTTAATTTAGTACAAAGTATGGAAACAGGCCCTATATTTTCTGGCAAGATACTCTCATTCTGCACAAAAATAGACCAAACCCAGATATGTCAAAATTTTGAAAAGCACTATGGAGATTTTCAATCTACACTATCTAAAGAAGGTTTCATTCTTCTTTATAAAAAGCTGATAGAGTCCACAGATTATTTATGTGTTTTAAAATCTTCCAAATGAAGTCTTCGTTTTTTTTTTTGAGGAAATCAGTTTTTATTTACTTGCATTCCTCTGTACATAACTTACATTGGGTTTGAGCACCACCTAAAAAAGAAAAGAAAAGAAAAAAACCCCAGGTGCTCCCGTTAATTTCTCACTTTGTAGCTGATTTGTTAGAGACATGGGAGCATTCTTCAAATATCTGCCACCCTCTAGAACTTCATGTCTAATTTCCCTAATATTAAATTAATGAGTAATTAAGAATTTAGCAGTTAAAAGAAACTTAAGATTAAACTACAAATAAGCTTAGAGCAAATACTGAAAATGATTGCAACTTTTGACTATTTCTTAATTTTGTGTTATCTGAGGATATACTCCAATAATGGCAAATTTCTTTAAACTTCAGATAGAAGTGATGAATTACCTTAAGGCATATCAAGTGGAAAAGACATCAATTTTTTTAATGATTCTTTGAAGCTTAAAATAGCATTTTCACATACTTTATCTAATTTGACATAAAATCCCTGTATGTTTTCAAGGCTAATAATTATATATGTCCATATTAAAAAATTCAATATGGATATATATCATTGATTTTTAGGAAATACTTGGAAGTGCTTTCACAGGTAAAGGGACATGATATTTGTAACTAATTATCAAATAGAGAAAGTGAGCAATTGAGCCAAAAGGAATATGAATATGAATTTGGGTCAAGGATGTATAGGAGTTCTTTATATTTCACAAGGAACTCTTTTGTAAACTTGAAATAATTTCAAAGTAAAAAGTAAAACTATTTGCACGTGTGTATGTGTGCATATATATATACCTATATATATATCATTTATTAGATTTTCCCCTATTAATCAATATGTCAAACATTGCAAAGAAATGGTAAAATATCTATCCCTGTTAAGGTAATAACTATTAAACTTGGGTGACTGTCTGTTCAGAGAGTATATATGCCCCCTCCCCTACTTTTCATAAAAAATTGGACCATAGAGTAAATATAATTCTGCACTTTTTTTCCATTTAACCTTCTATATTAGACTTCTATCTTTAAAAAATTTTTTTTTATTATGTTAATCACCATACATTACATCATTAGTTTTTTCTCTTTTCTTTTTTATTATGTTAATCACCATACATTACATCATTAGTTTTTGATGTAGTGTTCCATGATTCATTGTTTGCATATAATACCCAGGGCTCCATTCAGTACGTGCCCTCTTTAATACCCATCACCAGGCTAACCCATCACCCCACCCCTCTCCCCTCTAGAACCCTCAGTTTGTTTCTCAGAGTCCATAGTCTCTCATGGTTTAGACTTCTATCTTAACAGGATTCTCCTTCATTCTCTTTTAACCTTTTGTTTCTATTATATACAGATACAGAAAAACCACACAAAGTGAATGTATAACTTAATGAATCATAATAAGGCAAACACCCTTGTAACCACTAACCAGATCAAGAAAGACAGATTTTCCAGGCACCCCAGAAACCCCTCTATATGCCCCATCCTAGCCCATAATCCCATCTTCCCTCCAAAAGTAACTGCTACTCTGAGTTTTATCTTTATAAAGAATAATTCTTTATAGGAATTATAAATTACAAATTTTTATAAATTATAAATTATATAAATGTAAATTATTTTCATAAGGAATTGCTAGGGTTTTTTTCACCCATGTGCATCCTTGGACCCTATAGTTTAGTTACACCCACTTAAAGATTTCAATATATCTTTCAATTCACTTTTAACATATAGACCTCCTTCCACCCATTTTTAAATTTATTTATGGAAGCATCTGGGTTGTTTGACCTGTAAAGCTTCCCACAGTCTGGATTTGCTGATTTTATACTCATGGTAGGATTTAGCATGTTCCTCTGTCTTTTGTATTTCCTGAAAATTGTAAGCTAGACCCAGGGGCTTAATAAGACTCAGGTTCAATCCCTTTGGCAAGACTAGAGGTCATGTGTTCTTTTATCAGGAGACATATTATGTCTGGGTTGTTTCTCTTTTGATGTTGATAGGAGTCATTGGTGCTCAACGCCTAGATTCATTAATTCACTGGGAGTTGTAAAATGATGATATTCTAATTCCATCATTACTTTTACAATTACTAGTTGGAACATTTTTATAAATAAATGCTTCCTCTCCCATTATTTGGTTCCTCAAGGGTTGAGGTCCTGTAGAAATGGCAGAATAAATGTTTGTTTTTTTCCCCCCCTTCTTATTTTCAAGATAATAAATTTGTTCCCTCTTATCTACCAAAAGTGATCAATTAATTTTTAAAAATATCAAAATGAACTCATAGATTTAAAAATATATGATGGTTTTAAATTCACTTCAAATTTGAACTCACATTTGTCTGGTCTTTAACTAGTAGGAGCCTCTAAGGTTGGCTCCTGAATCCTTTTTTTTTTTTTTTCTGAATCCTTTTGACATGTAATGAGTAGTCTTTGATAGCATCCTTGGTATCAGGTATGTCAAGGTATTTAACTCATCTACCTTTCCTGCTCAGTCCTGGAGTCAGTATTTTTTTCAAAATGCCCTTCTTCTTTTAGTGGGAAATGGTATCACAAGAACACATTCTGGGCCCCAGGAAGCTTCGTTGTCATTGCTACGGTTGATCATTGTTCAGTGGGCAAAACTAGGCTTTTTGGTGGGCAGATCTAGTGAGTACGTCCAATTAAAATTCAGACTGCAGAATTTTTTTTTTAAGATTTTATTTATTCATGAGAGAGAGAGAGAGGGAGGCAGAGGGAGAAGCAGGCTCCAATATGGGACTCGATCCCAGAACCCTGGGATCATGACCTGAGCCAAAGGCAGAAGCTTAACCAACTGAGCCACCCAGGCGTCCCTCAGACTGCAGAGTTTTAAAGTAACTTCTTCTATATTATATTTATACTTATACCTTGATTCCATACTAAAAATCCTGGTTCCCAGGGGGCATAGGAGATGATAGAATTGGGATATTCTGCAATTATTCATTTGTTTCTTCTATAACATATGCACAACCGTCTCAGAATAGCATACAAATAATACCATACCCATGTCATTATTGAAAACAGTTAACAATTCCTCTCATTTTTTGCATATACACTCTCTATTCTTTCCTCATTTAAAATAGTTGTGCTATATTTACTTTGCCAAGCACATAACCTACATATTCTTCCCTCAATTAGTCTCTTATAAATAACTGCGTATTTAATGCTTGCCACTACTTTTTTCATGTAAAAAAATTATTCTTTATCAAAATTCTACAGATATAGGTCAAATAGTTCTAGATGGCTTATAAAGAAAAAGAGCAAACCCCTAACCTACCTTACTCGCTCTCTTGCCCCCAAGATTCTCCCTCCCCAGAGGCAAGCTCTTTCAATTCTTCCAGCTGGATCTTACGGTATTTGCATCTGTATTTCCAAAAACTTGCTTATGTGAATTGAATCTGTTGATACATTCGTAGACCTCTGGTAACCTATTGGTTTCCTTCCTGCCCTTAAAGCATTACCCTTGAAGCCTCTGTTCTCCTATTGCGATCTATGACTGCCAAGCCCACTGCTGTCCTGGGATCTCTCTTCCTTATCACTGTAGGGGTGCCCTTCATTATCTTGATTGTGGTGGAGTCCCTGTTTCCTCTTTCTTGTTTTATTTCCTCTTTGGTGGAGCACATCTTTCAGTGCTTTCCTGGACAAGGCGGCCACCTGGCATTGATGAAAATATCTGCATTCCACCCCCACTGTTAAGGGAGAGTGTGCTTGCATTCAGGATTCTAGCCTGCATCCCTTCTTCTTTCCGATGTTTTCAGGCTTTGCCCTGTGTCTCTTAGCCTCCATGTATGCTAGAGTTTGGAAAAGTGGATGCCTTTCCATATAAACTGTTTTTTTTCACCCCCTTTTGAAAGCCCTTTAGGATCTTGTCCCAAATGAGCTAACAATTTACTATGATGTTCCCTATGTGGATATTTCTCCATCGATTGTGGTGGGTACTGGGTGGGCCCTCTCCATCTGCAAAATCATGTCTTTCAGTTTTGGGACCATTTCTTGAATTATTTCATTAGTAATTGCCTTCCTTTTATTTATTTTTTCTGGAACTCCCATTACTCAGATGTTAGAATTCAAGAAGCTCAAAGAATTCCAAGAAAAAAAAACACAAAGAAAAATACATTGATACATTATAATTTCCAAAGTAATCCTGGTAAAGAACAAAGCTGGAGGACTCACGCTTCCTGATCTCAAGACTTACTGCAAAGCCACAATAATCGAAACAGTTTGGGACTGACATAAGGACAGACATATAGACATGAATTGAGAGTCTAGAAATAAGTCCAAACACCTATTCACCACTAGTTCGTATGTCTGTCATTGGGGTTGTCTAAAGCTCATTGTCTAGTTGATTCCTCAGGATGGGCTCATGGAAATGATGTTTCCTATATTCATTCATGTTTATAATAGTTTGTCTATGCCTTTTATATGAAAGTCAGTTTTGGGGGGCTATAAAATATTTGTTCACATTTTGCCCCCTTGAATATAATAACATTACTCAATTTTCTTTTGTCATAAACTATTATTGTTAAAGAGTCTGATGAGAATTTTTTTTTCCAAATTTTTATTTAAGTTCTAGTTAGTTAACATATAGTGTAATATTGGTTTCAGGAGTAGAATTTAGTGATTCATCAATTTTTTTTTCTTAAAGATTTTATTTTATTTATTTGACACAGAGAGAGAGAGACAGCTAGAGAGGGAACACAAGCAGGGGGAGTGGGAGAGGGAGAAGCAGGCTCTCCGTCAAGCAGGGAGCCCGATGCGGGGCTCGATCCCAGGACCCTGGGATCATGACCTGAGCCGAAGGCAGACGCTTAATGACTGAACCACCCAGGCGTCCCAAAACTTTTTTTAAGCTATCAGAATTTTATGGAAAAAACTATAAAACCTTATGGAGGACAAAAAAGAAAGCCTAAGGAATGAAAAGAAAGTGGTGGAGAAAGGTTTTTAGAAAGAGGATGTTGAAATTAAAAGCCATAAAAAAAAAAAAGAAAAAGATTGACAAGTAGAACTACGTAAAAATTTAAAACTTTTGTTCAACAGAAGACATCATAAGCAAAGTTAAGAATAATAGTCACTGGGGGCGCCTGGGTGGCTCAGTTGGTTAAGCGACTGCCTTCGGCTCAGGTCATGATCCTGGAGTCCTGGGATTGAGTCCTTCATCGGGCTCCCTGCTGGGCAGGGAGTCTGCTTCTCCCTCTGACCCTCCCCCCCACCATGCTCTCTCTCTATCTCATTCTCTCTCTCAAATAAATAAATAAAATCTTTTTTTAAAAAAAGAATAATAGTCACTGGGTAGGAAACATATTTGCAGTACCACCCGATGTAATGAAGAGGGTTCACGCCTATAACATTTAAAGTGGACTTAGTAAATTAAAGAATAATGCAAATAACTCAATAAAAAATGGACAGAGGCTCAGTAAATTAGAGAAATGTTGATAAATATGAACACCATTTGCACATCAGATCTGGGCACACGCAGGTCCACGTCTGCAGATGGTAAAGATAATCTCCACAATCCCAATATCCTCTTTGCAGTGTATAAGATTGCACTCATTCTTGAAGTTTGTATGGAATTACTTAAACACAATAGTCAAAAGAAATAGACTCAATAATACCAAAATGTGGGAATTTGACGAGCAGCTACTCTTTGCAATTGCACCGAGAAAGGGACCAAATTAAAATAGATCTAGAATTTAACAGCAAAAGTAAACCTCCTACATCATTATTACAAAAGGGAAATGGTTCTAAAAATGAATGTTCTCTATGGATCCTACAAGTAGCTATCAAACATGAACTATTTGCTCTGCCAGCTCAAGTAAATATTTGCCATGTGTTATGTGCTATTATGATGATTCACATGGGGTTACTTTATAAATGCTCATGGCCCCAATCCCAACGAACCAACGAACCAAAGAATTCATTTCCCCCTAAAGATCTCTTCTAGGAAAAGAGAGACTTAGCTAGAAGCATTTATAACCTAAAGTTCATGTCCCCTTAGAACTTGAGAATTAGATGACAAATGTGTTTCTTTGGCTGTTTTGCAACCTGACCTAGGGCAACAATATTGCCAACATAAATGATGCTGCTGTGCCAAATAGTTATGGGGGCAGCAATGGGGGGGGTGACTATTTCATAAATAGTGTATATTCAAAAGAAGAAGCGAAAGTCCAGTGTTTTGAAAAATGAGTGTCTGCTGGCTGAGATGGGCAAATGAGGCATCATTGCAACAGTCATTCACCCTGGTCACTTGTTATGAAATAAGGCATAATTCCCAAATTTCTAAGTGAAAAATCATTCAGAAAGGTTTGAATAGTTCTATTTTGGTGAGTCATTTCTGATAAAACAATACATACTTTAATCATACGCTAAATATAAGGAAATGAACTCTTACCTTGTCCGCTTAGTGGAGCCCAGAGCTCTCCACATAAAATGTACAATATGGATATGCGCTGCTGGTGTAGAAACACTAAAGAAATGCCAGGAAATAGTGTATTGATTACTTCACTTCACCTCAAAAGGAAGGTGATTTGCCAAGAAGAAAGGGCATGTGCATATTCAGAAATATTAGTTCTCATGTTAGATTAATTATTTTTCTGTGTTGGCCTATTCACATGACATCTATCTCTTTCCACTTTTCTCCCTAAATTGCTTAGGCTCAGTTAATGTTTTGTGGCTTATCAGAACTGAGATTTTGGCCTGGCCGAGTCCCATTCATTATCATGCCCTTTAAGTGCACTCAAAGATAGGACACCCTTACGTTAGCCACGGAGCAACCACGTACACAAGCTTGGCCCAGTGTATCAGTAAGGTTGCCAAAGAAGAGAAAAATGCAATAATACTCAGACTGCAAAATTTGAAACCAGTGTCCTTGAAGTGAAAATGATTAACTTTGTAATAGAGTACTAAAAGTATAACTTCATCAGATGAATAAACTCTAGGGATGTGATGTGCGGCATAGTGATCATAGCTAATAATAGTGTGCTGTGTGCTTGAAATTTGCAAAGAAAATAGATCTTTTTTTTTTTTGAGATATAAGATTGACAGTGTCAGATGTAGGACATAATGATTCACTGTGAGTATTGCTAAATATCACCCTAATAAATCTAGTTAACATCCAGCACCACACAGAGTTTTTTCTTGTGGTGAGAACTTCTAAGACTTACTCTCAAGACTTTTTTTTTTAAAGATTTTATTTATTTATTTGACAGAGAGACAGCATAAGCTGGGGGAGGGGCAGAGGGAGCAGCAGACTCCCCACTGAGCGGGGAAATGGACTCAACTCGGGGCTCGATCCCAGCATCCTGGGATCATGACCTGAGCCAAAGGCAGACTCTTAACTGACTGAGCCACCCAGGCGCCCCTAACACTTTCAAACATATAGTACAGTATTGTTACCTATGGTCTCCATGCTGTACATTACATCTACAGTACTTCTTCATTTTCTAACTGGAAGCTTGTACCTTTGGACCACCTTCATCCATTTCTCCTACACCCAACACTCGCCTTTGACAACCACCAACCTGTTCTCTGTATTTATAAGCTCAGTTTTTGTTTGTTTAGAGTCTACACATCAGTGAGATCATATGGTATTTTTCTGAGAGAAGATCTTAAGCAGTCTCATCCCCAGGCCCTGGCAACCACCCTTCTACTCTATGTCTCTCTGAGTTTGACCACTGTAGGTGTATCTCATACAAGTGAACTTATATAGTACTTGCCTGGCTTATTTCACTTAGTAGAATGTCTTCAAGGTTTATCCATGGTGCAGCACATGGCAGAACTAACTTCCTCTAAGGCTGAATAAGATTCCATTGTGTGTATAGACTACATTTTGTTGATCCTCTCATCTACTGACAGACACTTGGGTTGCTTCCACTTTTTGCTATTGAGAATAAAGTGACTGTGAACATGGGTGTACAAATATCTGTTTGAGTCTCTGCTTCTAATTCTTGGGAGGATATGCCCAGAAATAAAAATTTCTCTTTAAGAGAAGTACTTAATCTCCCTATTTTATTTCTTGGCAATTAAACTCCCCACAAATTTGGGGACCAACATAATAAAAACAAACTGTCACTTTTTTCTCTCTTGGAAAGACATACTATTTATCATTTAGGGTAAGTTTTTTTTTTTTAATTTTATTTATTTATTCATGAGAGACAGAGAGAGAGAGAGAGAGAGAAGCAGGCTCCCAAGGAGCAGGGAGCCCGATGCGGGGCTCGATCCAGGACCCTGGGATCATGACCAGGGCTGAAGGCAGATGCTTAACGACTGAGCCACCCAGGCGCCCTTATTTGTACTCTTGTAAACTCTTAGTGGGAATGGATTTTGTTTTGTTCATTGATGAATAACTTGTATAATCTGGTCCAGTGTTCTGCTCAATAAATACTAGTTGAATTAATTGTATAATAGTTATTTTTGTGATAGCAATTTATTCAGAGTTCCTACACATTATTTAAAAAATACCCTTCTTGTTGTGCTCCCAGAGGAAGCCAGCCCCTGGGGTATCTTCGGTTCCTTTGGTAGCCCCCCAAAAGCTGCAGGGTCAGGTCCTCCAAGAGTCCCAGGTCCTCTCCGCCCCTGATCCTAGGTAGCCTAGCCCTCTCCCACACTCTGAGACATTTAATGGGAGAAACTGGAGGACTCAGCTATTTTGGATATAGCATTAAGTTGCCTTTATTGAGTCTTAATCCCTGGTTCTTAGAGGTGGCTTTTGTCTTATTACCAAGATATAATATTCATCTGGGACCCTGTTGAGATAAGTAGATTGTCTGTCACTTCCTGTACCTGGGCCCCTGTCTTAATGACCTGCTCAATATTTGAACTTTTATGATTAGACACTGCCGTGGTTTTTGCCAGTGATGTCTACCCTGTCCTTCTATCCTTCAAGCATCTTTATAACCTCATCCATCAACTTCCTAATGACAAGTGTGCTGGTACTGACTGACTGCTGATGAATTTCAAAGGACTCGCTCCAGTGTCCTTTATCCATCTGCAGAGGACCCCTTCCCTGGTAGACTGCTGATACCAGGTGCTTGCTGTCACTGAACATGCATAGCATGTAGATCAGGCTGATCCATCAGTGGTTTACTCTGCAAGTGGCCACCCCCTCACTTCATGCCCCGTGTCCACTAACCCTTATGCAGGTAATGGCCCACAGCCACGGTGCTCACCTGGCTGATGGTGCTCATGGCTCGCATGTAGCTCTCATTCCTAGAGCGGAACTTTGGTGATGTGAGCAAGCCGGCAGGGTCAAGACTGTCCAGGCTTCGGTTGATGGAGACTTCACTTACTGCCCTCAGGTAACTGTGACTCCGGATCTGGAGTTTGGGGGAGTGTTCATTGGAAATCCTGAAAGGGAATAAGAGAAGGGGCACATTTAGTCATATTCTAAGATGTAAGCAGTACTAAGATGTGGGAGCACTATCCTTGATGTGGCACCCTAAATACTGGGATGAATAATATAGATGGCTTCCTATGATTACTAGACTCCCCCATGGTGTCTCAGAAGGAAAAACTTTTGACAGGAAATCATTAAGGTCTGATGATAGCAGAGAGCAATTAAAATTCTCTTCAGCCCATGCAATAATTTCCCCATTCGCATTTTCCCAGGCATCGGGAGGAGGGAGATAATAGCTCTGATTACCCCATCCCAGAATCCTGTCCTGTTTGGTCTGTAAGCTTTGTCTTTTACCCACTTCCTTTCTGTGGCCATCTTTTTGTTTTTGGACTTTCTAGTAACAGACAGTGGGTATACATCTGAACTATATCAGTATCTCTACCAATCTTTCTATCATCTACTTGTCTATCTAATCTTTGTGTCATTTAGTTGAGACTGAACTTAGTGAACAATCCTTAAATTTTAGCCATTAACAATGTACACATCTTTAAATCTTGATATGTAAAGAAAGTCTTTACACACTTTATACTCTTTGGATTTTTTCAAGATGCATTATAAAATTATCAAAGTAGGAAAGGCTCATTGCCAAGCTATACAGGAGTGCATAAAACAGAAAGTGGGTCTCCCTCTCCACCCCTGTTTCTGCTCCAGAATTCTGCACCCTTAAAAGAACTACCTGTAGCAGTCTGGTGTATATCCTTCCTGTCTTTTCTTTTCTTTATTTCTTTTTTTTTTTTAAAGATTTTATTTATTTATTTATTTGAAAGAGAGAGAGAGAGTGTGTGAGAGAGCATGAGTGCGGGAGGGGAGAAGCAGACTCCGCCGCTGAGCAGGGAACCCGATGTGGGGCTCGATCCCAGGACCCTGGGATCATGACCCGAGCCGAAGGCAGTCATTTAAGTGACTGAGCCACTGAGGTGCCCATCTTCCTGCCTTTCTATACATATACAAACAATTTATTTTCAGTATTTTTCGAGCTTACTTTCACATGGGATTCAGGGTGATTTTTCTTTCATTGTTAAATTTCTTTTATTTTTGCTGAAACATTGCTTGCAGTAAAAGTTAAAGTTGATAAGAAAGATCTATACCCAGTATCTTTGCTATTATTTATCATTCTGGAGATCAAAGCCAATGAAATTAGAAAATAAAAAGATACAGGGAATATAAATATTGTGAAGTAAGAGATAAGCTTTGTGTATTCATAGATTATATAATTATCTGGAAGATAAAAATCTGAAAAACTATTGGAATGCATAAGAGAGATCGACAGGATAGCTAGATACAGGATTAAAAAACACAAAAATTAATAGCTTTTCTATACACTGCCACCACCAAATAGAAATTTAAAAAAATCCATTCAAAATGGCAAAACATTATAAAATGAGTACAAATTATAAAAAAATGCAATAGAATTTTATGAAGAAAGCTATAAAACTTTATGGAAGGCAATAAGTAAGGCCTAAATAAATGTAAAGGAAGATAATTTTCCTTGATGGAAGTAATATTGTAAGAAAAAAAATTAAAATTTTCCTAAATTATTCTACAAACCTAATGCAATTGTAATAAAAATTTTCACAGATTTTTTTTTATTTGAGTGTAACAAACTCATTTTAAAGTTTATATGAGGTTTATAGCAGCATTATTCATAAGAGCCAAAAGGTAGGGCAAATTAAATGTCTGTCAGCTGATGAATGGGTAAAATGTGGTTTATCCATACAGTGGAATATTAGTTGGCCATGAGGAAGAGTTTAGTACTGACATATGCCACAACATGGATGAATTTTGTAAACATCATGGTAAGTGGAAGAGGCCAGTTACAGATTATATGATTCTACTTATATAAAGTGTCCAGAATAAAAAAAATCTCTAAAGACAGAAAGTAGATTAGTGGTTGCCTAGACTGGAATGTCTAGGAGGAGGAAAGGATGGCAAGGTTGGGGGTTGATATCTAAAAGATATGACTTTTTTCTTTGGGGTGGTGAAAATACTCTAAAATTGTGATGGTTGCACAAATCTGAATATGCTAGACCATTGAATTGCACATTTTAAATTGTTTGGTATGTACATTATAGCTCAATAAAGCTATTTAAAAAATTATATGAGGCCTCAAAATAATCAAATTTCCTAATGGAGGGAGTTCAGAGAGCAGACTGTGGTTGGCACAATGAGAGAAAGAAAGGCTGTGAAGGGGTTGCAATATAGCAATAATTTAAATAACCAGTGATAGGACTGAGTTAAGTAGCCGTGGAACTTGAGCAGATGGATTTAAGAGCCCACGTGAAGATTAAATATGGAAGATGATTAAGAGGAGGGGGTCTAAAAACAGCCAGAAAATAAAAATAAATAAAAAAGGAGATAAATATCCTATCAGATCTCAAATATACTTTATAACTACAAAGAGGAAAACCGTGTGGTATAGCGAAGGAATAGACAGATCAGTGGAATAAAGTAAGGACTCCAGAAACAGAACTGAGTGTCTATCTGAATTTAGTATATTGCAAAGGTGGTAATTCAAATAAGCAGGGAAGAGATCAATTACTTAGTAATGGTGTTAGATGAGCTGTGTGTCCACATGGAAAAAAATGGATTCCTACTATCCATATAGATTAAGAGATTAAAAATCAAATATTTACAAATTTAAAGTTGTCTAGTATGTTATAGAAGAATGTGTTTTATAATCCTTTTATTTATTTGAGAGAGAGAGCACATGAGTGAGCACAAGTGGGCGGGGAGGAGGGAAGAACAGAGGGAGAGGGAGAAGCAGACTCCTCCCTGAGCGGGTAGCATGAGGTGGGGCTCCATCCCAGGACCTTGGGATCATGACCTGAGCCAAAGGCAGCCGCTTAACCTACTGAGCCACCCAGGCACCCCTATAATCTTTTTTTTTTTTTTTAAGATTTCATTTTTAAGTAATCCTTACGTGCAACGTGGGGCTCAAACATACAACCCCGAAATCAGGAGTCACATGCTC